TCATTGTTGTTTGGCGGGCCCGGGCTGGGGATTCGAACCGGCCATCTTAGGTGTATGTGGCTGGCGCCTTAGCCGCTTGAGCCACAGGCGCCAAGCCACAACACATTCTTAAGGACCAGACTCCCTAAAGCCCAGAGACCATCTTGCCTCTGATTCCCTTGTTCTTTCCCTTGCATACGCCTTTTCATCACAGGAAACCCCATTTTCCTCCATGCAGTGGAGTTGGAGTGCCCCCCCTCCCCGCCCGCCCCCCAGCCTCCCCACCCCCGCAGCCCCAAGTGTTGAAGCCCCTCCTACCTCTGGCCTTTGGCAATGGAGGAAGGCTTCCTGGAAGAGGAAGGCTTCCTGGAGGAGCGGTGGCCTCCTGACGCCCCTTCCCCCCACAGTCATCCTGACAGATGAGGAGGTGCAGCGGAAGCGTGAGATGATCCTGAAGCGCAAGGAGGAGGAGGCCCTGAAGGACAGCCTGCGGCCCAAGCTGTCGGAGGAGCAGCAGCGCATCATCACCATTCTGCTGGACGCCCACCACAAGACCTACGACCCCACCTATGCCGACTTCAGCGAGTTCCGGGTACGTCCCCTGCTGGCCTGGCAGGAAGATGGAGGAGATGGGGGGGTGTCGAGGGCCAGGGGAGTCCTGGCACAGAGCAGGGGAAGGGACAGAGGCTACTCTGCCCCTCTGGCATCCAGAGACCTTACCCTCCCCCAGGCCTTCCTCAAAGCCCTTCCAATGAGAGATCAAGGGCCAAGGGCAGAGGTAGAAAGGTGGCCCCAAAATGTACATCTCCAAGACCCTTCCTTTTCCTTCCAGCCTCCAGTTCGCAGAGGTGCAGGTGGAGGGAGTCATCCTTCCAGGCCCAACTTGAGACACACCCCCAGCTTCTCCGGGGACTCCTCATCCTCCTGCTCAGATCACTACATCTCCTCTCCAGGTAAGCAGGACTTCATGCCTCCCACCCACTTGCCCTTGGGGGGAAGGAGGCAGAATTCTCCTGATGTGAGTGGCATTTATATACTGAGTGCCACAAAACAGCTCCTCCTTTGCAGAAGAGGAGGAAGGGCCTGGGTTGGGCAGGGTCTGGCTGTGTAGGGTCACCCTCCTGAGCCATGCCCTCTTCTCCAAGAGAGACTTCTGCCCAGAGCTGCTTTCTTGGGGATGACCTCATTCCTTGGTCCTAAGCCCTTTAGAAGGTGAAATTTGGAGTAGAGGGAGATTGAGTGGGTCCTATTGCAGCCTACCCTCCACTGGAGCCCTGGGGGATGGCTCTGGCCCTGGAGGACCTGTCACCTCTAGCTCATGTGAGAGACAAGGAGGTAGTATGCTTTTCTCGTAAGGTCCTTTCTACCTTCCTCTTCATCATCCTGCCTCATCCTTCCCCTGCCCTTGTCTTTCCTTCCTCTCACCCAACCCTGGCGTTCTCTGCCTGGGCCCTGCAGGAGGGCAGGGATGCAAAAGCCCCCTTCTACTAGGGCAGGCTGAACTCTGAGGTATGGTACTTCCAGATTCAGTAACGGATCTGGGGGTGGATCTGGAGTAAGTGGAAGGGATCTGAGTGCCACTGGCCAGACATAGTGGATAGAGCCAGTGTGTCCACCCACCCAGAAATGACAGGGAGGGGGCTACAGAGAAGCACTGACCACTGCACCCACTCTCCCAGACCCTTACCTCTCCTAGATATTACATTTTTCTGCCCACCTTCCTGCTTTTCTCACTCGGTGGCATATTCATTTGTACTAGCGAGGGTCAATCTGTATAAGCCACACACTGGTCCGTACTTTATCTTTTAATATAATTTCATATTATTTAAGAATTTTGATGCCCTCTCTTGGGGTAACTGATTCAGAGTGCTCACTCCCACCAATGACGTGTTCAGAATACCATATAGTTATTTAAAAATCTAGACAAGTGAACTTTCCAAATAAAAAAAAATTATTATGTAAAAGTAATGCATGTTCAACATAGACATTTAGAAAATATAAAGTGGCTCAGCGCCTATAGCTCAACCAGCTAAGGCGCCAACCACGTACACCTAAGGTGACGGGTTCGAATCCCCAGCCCGGACCCGCCAAACAACAATGACGGCTGCAACCAAAAAATAGCCGGGCATTGTGGTGGGCGCCTGTGGTCCCAGCTACTTGGGAGGCGGAGGCAGGAGACTCGCTTGAGCCCAGGAGTTGGAGGTTGCTGTGACTGTAATGCCAGGGCACTCTATCCAGGGGGACAGCTTGAGGCTCTGTCTCAAAAAAAAAAAAATAAAGTAAGTTATATGTATATAAAATCTTTTTCTTTAAATTGGGCAATAATAATAACAATGCAAAAAAAGTAACATTCACATTGTCAAATAAGAATATGTCTATTATAGAATGCTTTGGCTCTGAGGTTCAATATGGAGTCATCAGTTATGTATATAAAATCTTTAATCCTATTTATGTATATAAAATCTTTAATCTTATCATCCAGAGATAATCACTGTTAATACTATGATGTATTTCTTTCCTATCTTTTTTGAAACGTGTGTATTCGGAAATGGAATTGTGTCATGTACAGTCTAATGACTTTATTTTTCTCTTAAGAGTATTTTGTATCATATTTCTATAGCATTCAGCATGCATCTGGAATATCATTTCTAAGGGATTGGTTATCTAGAATGTTTCTGAGTTTTTTTGTAAGATAGTATAGTTGTGGCTCAATTTATTCTGGATCTTTTCCTCATGATGAATTCGTGGGAGTGGGATTACTGGTCAGAGAGTACATATAAATTGTAGGCTTTTGACGCATGATGCCAAGTGGTTTCTAGGTTACCTGCACAAATGTACACCTCCTTTAGTGTCCCAGCCCTGCATAAGGACTGCCTAAATTCCTGCATCTTTACAAGTACTGGCATCAACATTTTTTTTAATTTCAAAATATCATGGAGCTACAAATGTTTTGGTTATATGACTTGATTTTGTACAGTTTGAGTCAAAGTTGTAAGTGTGCCCCTCACCAGATAGCAGGCATTGTATTCATTAGGTGTGGATTTACCCCGCCCCTCCTGCCCCCTGGTACCCACTTGCTTTCTGTTGAGTTTTACTACCATGGCATCACATTTAAATACAGTTGTTTCTAGGTTACAGATGAAAGTGTGATGTTTCACTTTGCAGTCTTTGATCAAGGCTGAACATTTTTTTCTGTAGATTGCTTGGGACCAAATTCATTTTGAATTGAGTTCATTAGGAACAAGGCGTGGTCTGACAATCAAGGCTTGAGGGCTCCTCATTTCTCTGAGTATCTCCGGCTCTTTGATTTTACTGTCTCCTGCCACTGAAGGAAGAGACTAAGAGAGTTGTAGAGGGAAGCCTGGAGCTGAACTGTGACCTGTGGAGAGAGGATGGTCACTGCAGGATCCCAGCTGGTACCTGCCATAGGCAGAAAGGGCCAACTCAAGCGTCCTCAAATAACTCCTCTTCCCTCATTTTCCCAGACATGATGGAGCCATCCAGCTTCTCCAACCTGGATCTGAATGAAGAGGACTCAGATGACCCTTCTGTGACCCTGGACCTGTCCCAGCTCTCCATGCTGCCCCACTTGGCTGACCTGGTCAGTTACAGCATCCAAAAGGTTATCGGCTTTGCCAAGATGATCCCAGGATTCAGGTAAGAAGCTTCTGCAACCTCTGGGGAGCACAGTCAGAATCCTAGGCTGAGCTAGAAGAAGAGATCACCAGTCCACTGTGTTCCCAAAACAGACGCAGGCCCTAACCAGACCTCCTCAATCAGAATCTCTTGGGTAGGCCCAGGAATCTGTATTTTAGGAAGTATACCCCAGCCTGTACCACTCTGTGGGCCAACACTTGAGAGCTAGTCCATCCCTTAATGGACTTTCTGGATGACAGAATGAAAACCCAGCAAGGGCTAGCCTGGGTCCCTGCCTGGTGTTGCAGCCAGTATGTCAGAACCAGGCGTACAATTCCCAATTCACTGCTGTGTCCACTCCTCTGGCTTGACTCTAATCCTCATATTATCCCTTTAAATTCAACCTGCATTATCCTTCCACACCCAACTCTGAGGTCAGAATAAATGATAGAGAAGAGAAAGGTTGGCCATGGAGACTTGTGAAATAGTTAGGAGGACTAGAGAGAGACAGGTATAGCAGCACATGTGCCCTGGGCATCTTTCACCCAAATTTAAATTTAAAGATCATTTCCTAGTCATAGTGATACCTTTTTGCCAAAATGGATAGGTATAAAGAGGTCTACTAAAGTAGGGATCCTCCTCTGTGGATTCACTCATACAAACTTTGCTCATTCATTCCCATGTTTTATTGTATTAATACCAATATGTGAATATTCTTGCAGTGTTAACTATTTTTAAGACCATAGAGTGTGACACTTTTGGTTGATGTTGGGAGACAGTTATAGCTGTAGTTATGTACAAATGGTCATATGGCATATTGCCATAAGAAATACATCGTGTAGCTGAGAAATAGAAAGAAGTAAATCAGTACTAGGTAACATCTGGGGAGCAATAGCTGTGTTACAGCAGAAGGAGCAGGACGCTTCCCAGGGTAACTCAGATTCAGTGCTGGACTACCAGGAGCTGGAAAAAGAGTTAACATTGGCCAGTGCCAGAGCAGACCTGATATAGGGTGCCGTTCATCTCTCAGGGAAGCCATTAGTTATTATCTAAATCACACTCTTGCCAGCTAGATGTTGGAAATTCACAGAACTGTTTCTGCCTGAAAACAACTGGTTCTATGTTACCTTATGCCTCTCAACAAGCCAATACCAGAAACTCTCCAATGTTCTTTCCCTAGAATTAGTGTGAAAATTGGGGGGCGATCCCTGTGGCTCAAAGGAGTAGGGCAGCAGGCCCCATATGCCAGAGGTGGTGGGTTCAAACCCATCTCCAGCCAAAAACTGCAAAAAAAAATTGTGAGGAAGAGATAAATATCAAATGGTGCTGACACAGTCCTGGTGCATCACACAAGTTGGCTGTAAAGATAGGAGCAAGAGCCCCTGGCAGGCAGGAAGGAGCAAATGACTTGTCCTGTGAGCCCAGCAGTGTGCAGGGCCTGTGGTTTCCCCTCAGAGCCCTTCCTTGGAACTGACAAGACATTCCTTCCACTGAGCACCAGCTCCAACTCCTTCCTCCTGTAATACTGAAGCTTACAGTTTGCAAACTTCATGTATTCCAAAGTTGTGTTTTGTGTAAACAGCTAAGAGAAAAACACCGAGGCACTGGCATCCATCCTAATGCCAGCAGCAGTCCTCACCTAGCCAGGATTTGTCTTTCCTGGCTCTCATGGGGAATTGGACAGAGGTCCCCTGAGTTCCCAATACCAAGGTTCAGAGTTCTAAGTGGTATCTGGGATTGCACACATGGGAAAGCTGTCCTAAAAAGAAAGTTATTTTTTAAACCAGATTACACCAGTGATGTCCTTATCACCAAGTAATCCTAGTAATTCACCAAGTAATTCACCCCATCCCCTTGGCCTCCTTAGTCTCGGACATATACCTGACATGAAAGGCACCACCCTCCCATCAATTGCTCTCCCCAGGGTAAAGTTAAAGGACCTTCCTTTCCTCACTTTCTCCAGGGTTCCCTAGTCTAGCCCTATAGTCAAGGCCAAAGTGAGGTGCATATGGGCAGGTTCTGGAGCTGGCCAGCCATTGAGGCAAAATGAGTTAAATTCCTCCTGAACATCTGAGTTGGCTTCTCTGTCTTCAGCGTGACTTGAAAAGTCCCAGAACAGAATGCTGTCTAGTGAAAAGAGCTCCTGAGGGGAGCACACTGATGAGGACACCCGGCTGGACAGAGGTGATGCCAAGCCTGGACAGGAGTCTTAGTGCAAGCTCCAGTTGGGCCCAGGTGGGGCCAGCCCAGCAGCTCTCTGTTTCTGCTACTTTCCACACTTAGGGGTACTGTTTTTCCAGGAACTGAAAGAACCATGGCTGCCTGTAGGCGGGGGTGGAGGGTGTGGGGAAGGCAGGATGAGACTTCTATGTGGGTGAGTGGAGGAGGGAGCAGGATGAGTCTTCTATGGAAGCATGAGACCGATGTGGGGCAGGCCTGGATGGGCTATTCTGGGCGTGAACTGCTCTGCCGAGGCCTTGCCCTTACTCCCTCTTGTCACCCCCTCCCTCAGCCTCCCAGCCTCATCCCACAAACCTCCCTGCTACAAAAGAAAGGTGTGAAGGAGATGGTGTCAGGAGCAGCATCTAAATGGCCAGAAGCCTTAGATCCAAGGACCTAGGACCCTCAGGCTTCACCAAGTAAAATGTATAAGAGATAAGGCCACATCAGCTGGAGCCCAGCCGGTGGGCTACATAAATGCCTTCCACTTCCCTGCCATTTCCATTTCCATGGCCCCTTCCTGGCCAAAAGCTTAGGGGTCACCAGCTTCTCTTTTCCCGTTCCCCTTCCTCCACATTTGTTTACTCAGACAACAAGTAGCCTTCTTATATAAACCGCAAGGGATAAAAGTCGACTAGGACATGGTTCCTGGCACGCTGGGATGCAGTGTCTGATAGAAGAGATAGACATGTAAACAATTGCCTCAGAGAGATAAGCGAGCTACCGTGGGAATCTGGGCAAGGAGGGCTGGACCCTGCTTGGGAGAGGCAGAGACAGACAACCATGCGGTTCTAGGACACGGCTCAGATGTGAAGACTGAGGCGGATATGAGCATCACACAGGTCAGAGCTGGGGCTGAGCCTACATCGCAGAGCCAGGGCCTGAGCCCAGGCTGAGCCTGCATCACAGGGCCAGGGCTGAGCCTGTATGGCAGAACAAGTTCTCTAGCTGGCTTCCCTTTCATGCTGCCTCAACTCCCACCTCACCACTGTCCCTTCTTGTGGCTATGACCTAGAAAGTCCTTAGTCTGTGGGTGATAATTTGAGGTCGTTTTAGGTCTGCTCTCATGGCAATAGTATAATGAATCACCACTAGCAGTGATCCCACTGAAGTCTCTCCGGCTGCACACCCATGGGACGCATGTTCCCCGCTGGCCATCTGCACTGAGTGGGGCATTGAACACAATGTATTATGTAAGAAAATAGTCCACACAGAATTACCCAGCGAAAGTTAGAAGCAACCAGAATGTTCCAAAATAGGCAGCTGGGAGACTGAATAAATAACTTATAGTATATTGCTGTGATGTAATATGATGCAGCCCACTAAGAACTGGCCTAAAGGCTGTTAAACCATATAGAAAGTGAGATACAGGTTCTGCGCCTGTGGCTGAAGCAGCTAAGGTGCCAGTCACATACACCTGAGCTGGCGGGTTCAAATCCAGCCCGGCCTGCCAAACAACAATGATGGCTGCAACCAAAAAATGCCGGGCATTGTGGCAGGTGCCTGTAGTCCCAGCTACTTGGGAAGTGGGGGCAGGAGAATTGCTTGAGCCCAGGAGTTAGAGGTTGCTGTGAGCTGTGATGCCATAGTACTCTACCCAGGGCAAGAGCTTGAGGCTCTGTCTCAAAAAGGAAAAAGAAAGTGAGATATAGAATTAGTATTAACCCAGGTATATTCAAAACACACATATTTTTCATAGAAAAAAAGAGAGGAAGGAAATACACCAAAATACTAAGTGTGGTTGTGAGCAATGTTCATTTTCTTATCTATGTTTTTTTTTTTTGGCATTTTCCAAAGGTTTAATAATACATTTTACTTACATAACATGTCATAGAGGAGGTGCCTGTGGCTCAGTGAGTAGGGTGCCGGCTCCATATACCGAGGGTGGTGGGTTCGAATCCAGCCCCTGCCAAACTGCAACAAAAAAATAGCAGGGTGTGGGCGGCACCTGTGGCTCAAAAGGGTAGGGTGCTGGCCCCATATGCCGGAGGTAGCAGGTTCAAACCCAACCCCAGCCAAAAAAAAAAAAACAAAAATAGCAGGACATTGTGGTGGGCAACTGTAGTCCCAGCTACTTGGGAGGCGGAGGCAAGAGAATCACCTAAGCCCAAGAACTAGAGGTTGCTGTGAGCTGTGATGGCCACAGCATTGTACCAAGGGTGACAAAGTGACACTCTGTCTCTAAAAAAATAAAAAATAAAAAAATAACAAGTTAAAACTAAAATAGGGGTGGTATTAGGTTTTATTTTTTAAATGTGGATTGGGCATCTATAGAAAAGTGACAAGGATGGTGAGACATTTAGACACTGTGTCATTAGAGTGTCTGTCTTGGAGAAGATGAAAAGAGGACATGATAATTTTCTTTAAAAAAATTAAAAATCTCATTAGCTGTGGTTAAAGGGAAGTCCATGGCCAATGGAGAAGTCTGGTCCTGTGCTCCTCGAGAGTACAAAACTATAAGCAACAAGTGAGTACATTGTCGTGTGGGCTGCAGCCCAACAGAAGAACACCCATTAGGCTGGGTTTGATGGCTACTCCTGGAATCCCAGCATTCTGGGAGGCCAAGGTGGATGGATTGCTTGAGCTCACAGGTCCGAGACCAGCCTGAGCAAGAGCAAGACCCTGTCTCTAAAAAAAATAGCTGGGCCTTGTGGGGGGTACCTATAGTCCCAGACACTTGGGAGGCTGAGGCAAGAGGGTCATGTGAGCCCAAGAGTTTGAGGTTGCTGTGAGCTATGATGCCACAGCACTCTACTGAGGTCAACAAAGGAAGACTCTGTCTCATGGGCAGCGCCTGTGACTCAGTGGATTGGGCGCCGGCTCCATATACTGAGGGTGGTGGGTTCCAACCCAGCCCCAGCCAAACTGCAACAAATAAATAGCCAGGCATTCTGGTGGGCACCTGTGGTCCCAGCTACTCAGGAGGCTGAGGCAAGAGAATCATCTAAGCCCAGGAGTTGGAGATTGCTGTGAGCTGTGATGCTACAGCACTCTACCAAGGGCAATAAAGTGAGACTCTGTCTCTAAAAAAAAAAAAAGACTCTGTCTCAAATAAATAAATAATAAGAAGCAGAGACCATTAACACAGGCGCTAACAACCGTAACTATATCCAGAGGCCATGAGTTCCCTGACCAGGAGACTCTTGCAGAGGCTGTGTCGGAGCCAGGTGTCAAGAACGCTGAAGGAGAAACTAGACCAGACAGTCTCTGGGAGGAGCCTTCCCACTCTAGTTCTTCGTGGATTTTGCAATACACAGCCTTTGCTGGCCATCCTGACCACACCAGCTTTTTCATTCTCCCTCTATCACCTGCGGATGCGAAACTCTTCATTTGTTAATATCTGCTTCTGCCCTTACATATCAACATTCAGCCACAAGGGGGATGACAGCCTGTCTATAGGATGTCCAGCAGGACATAGACCATCAGGAAGAGAAAGGGAATAAAAGCCTGGAAGCAAATTGAAATACGTGGGCCTCGCTTTTTCCTTGCCATTGTTCAAACAAGCCTGATGCAACTCATGACTCAGAATAGTGGATTGGCCTCTTGACTCATCACATATATTTATTGATTCTCTTGTTGTGCTTGGGGCTCAATGATCAGTGTGTGGGCAACATCTGTGTAATTAAGAAGTGGTACTTGCTGGGCGTGGTAGCTCACGCCTATAATCTTAGCACTCTGGGAGGCCAAAGCGAGTGGATTACCTGAGCCCAGGTTCAAGACCAGCCTGAACAAGAGTAAGACCCCCTCTTTAAAAATAGCCAGGCATTGTGGTAGCTATAGTCCCAGCTACTTGGGAGGCTGAGGCAAGATCATTTGAGCCCAAGTGCTTGAAGTTGCCATGAGCTGTGATGCTATAGCACTCTACTGAGGGTGACAAAGTAAAACTCTGTCTCAATTAAAAAAAAAAAAGAAGAAGGAGAAGTGGTAGCAGACCTCCAGTACCTCACAAATAAGAGTCAGAGGCTGGATGTGGTGACTCACACCTGTAATCCCAATACTTTGTGAGGCCGAGGCTGGAGGATTGCTTGAGACCAAGAGTTTGAGAGCAGCCTGGGCAATACAATGAGATCCCCATGCCCATCTCCACAAAAATATTTTAAAAATTAGCTGGGTTTGGGGGTGCATGACTGTAGTCTCAGCTACTCAGGAGGCTAAGACAGGAGGATCACTTGAGCCCAGGAGTTGGAGGTTGCAAGAGCTATGATCATGCCACTGCATTCTGGCCTAAGCAACAGAGCCAGAGATAAGCACATAAAGAACAGAACTGAGGGGAAAGGGCAAAATAAGAGCAGCAGCAATGTGCAATGGGTCAGAAAGAAATGTTGGGGATTGAGGGGACCAGAAAGACAGGATGGAACATAGAAAGGTATTCCTGGCTGGAGCCACAGAATGCTCAAAGGCACGGTGGTGTGAGGGTGCCCAGCATCTGAACACAGAGCAGCCTGATGCTGCTAGAATGGAAGGTCGGTGGAATACGCAATGGGAAAGGGGGCTGGAAAGACAGGCTGGAGCCAAGAGATGGAGTATGAGCCTGATCCTGGGTGTTTGAGAGTCAGTGAGGATTTCTCAGCATAAGAGTGACATTTACTATAGCAGTAGGAAGAAAGATGAGTGCGAGATCTGAGACTTGAGTACAGGACTCCAGGAGGAAGCTATCATAACAGAGGATGGAGTTCTGAAACACAGCAGTCTTAGTGGGAGGGGGCTGAGGTCAAGACCTCAAAAGACAGCCTGGAGACAGAGTTGGCTGAGCTTGCTCCTAAAAAGGACTGGAGGCCAGGAAGAAGGAGAAGAAAGCAAATTGTGGGTGATGTTGAAGATGACTCTGGCTATATCATTTGCAGGCCATCATGTTCACACCAGGGCACTGGGACCTTCCTTAGACTCTGTCTTCCTGTCCCTGAGAGCTCTGGCTGCTTAGTCCCCGAGTTCTCCTTGTCCTGTTAACTGAGCCACTTCCCTTCTTGCCTTGGCACACGATCTTGCATCTCTCAGGGACACACTCTTGTCCTTTCCAACGAGGGTACAGTCTCCTTGATGGGGACTCAGGGCACATGCTGGTCACCCAGCAGGGGTATACCCATCAAAAACACTGAACTGATTTGTATGACTTGAAGGTCTTGACCTGACCTCCTCTCCTGCTCTCCTTGGCAGAGACCTCACCTCTGAGGACCAGATTGTGCTACTGAAGTCAAGTGCCATCGAGGTCATCATGTTGCGTTCCAACCAGTCCTTCACCATGGACGACATGTCCTGGAGCTGCGGCAGCCAGGACTATACATACGGTGTCAATGACATGGCCAAAGGTGCGTCTGGACTCCAAGCCAGGCACCTGGGTGGGGGCTTAGCAGCAACAAGGAGAAAAGGGTGAGGGGTACACCAGTTGGGGTTGGCGGTGGGGTGAGTGGCTCCTCAGCTCTGCCCACAGCATCTGGCCATTGTCTCTCATAGCTGGACACAGCCTGGAGCTGATTGAGCCCCTCATAAAGTTCCAGGTGGGGCTGAAGAAGCTGAACTTGCATGAGGAGGAGCATGTCCTGCTCATGGCCATCTGCATTGTCTCCCCAGGTATGGGCCTAGCAAAGAGGAACTCAGGTATCCGGGAAGTAGTGTGAAGGATAAAGAGCTCTGAAGGCCAGCAGGGCCATCTGCAGTGAGGAGGGAGCAAATCAGAGGCAGATGAGGAAATGCCCACTTTTGCTGGGTTTGCGCACTCCATGTGGTGTATGTGAAAGCTCCCTTGCTGCCCTTGGCTTTGCCCTGCCGAAACTGTAGGCAATCCATTGGTAGGATCTGAGGAATGAGATGAACACAGTTCCTCAGGCCACAGAAAGACCTGAGTCTTCCCATACTCAGGCTCTGCTCTTAAGTGACTGAGTCAAACTTTCCTGTCACTTGAGGATCTTTGAAGGCAGGGTACAAAACCCTGGGGCCAATGGACAGTTCTGCCTACATAGTTTATCAGACTAATTTTGGAAGCAGTGTGCTGTGACCCTGGTTTCTTCTGCTTGTTTGGGGTAAGAAGAGAGAGAAAAGGCTGAAGAGATAGTTACTGTGGCCATAGGAATGGTGATGAGTGCCCAAGGGAGACAGCTCTGCCTCTGCCTAGATGGTGTTCAGGGTACAGGCTAGTGGGCTCTGCCCAGGGATGCTTTTCTGGGCTGGGGGCCTCCCTGGCCCAGCCAGCATTCACACCTTCATTCATTCATACACTCAGTGGTGTGCAGCTCACTTTATTGAGCACCTACTAGGTACAAGGCACTGTGCTGGGCATAGGGATTTAGCATCAAACAGGACACAGACTCTTCCCCCATGAAGCTTAGTAGGAGATATGAAATAAGTTTTACCAATTCCTAATATGATGAGAGTTACTAAGAAAATAAAGACATGATACTATGGGAGGATGAAATAGGAGGGAACCTGATGTGTCTAAGGCATAAAGGTAGAGGGTTGTCAGGAAGCTGTTACCTGAAGCATCAGTAAGAGTCAGGCAGAAATGGAAGCACTGAGTTCCAAGCAGAAGGCACACAGATGTGAGGCCTGGAGGCCAAATAGCACGGCACATCAGGACGGTGATGGGCAGAGCAGAGTCAGGGAGCCTGGTGAGGTCCAGACAGGGGACCCAGGACTCCATTACAATGCAATAGGAAGGCGTTGTGTGGCTTTGGGCCAGGCAGTGGTGTCACAGATCAGTATCCCTAGGGGGGTGGCCCAGAGGTGCTGTGGTTGGGTGGCCGTAGATGGGAGTGGGGCAAGACTGAGCAAGAAGGGGCCCAGTTGGGAGCTCCTGTGTCTTCTCCCCAACTCTGGTACCCATAGACCGTCCCGGGGTGCAGGATGCCACGCTGGTGGAGGCCATCCAAGACCGCCTGTCCAACACTCTGCAGACCTATATCCGCTGCCGCCACCCACCCCCGGGCAGCCACCTGCTCTACGCCAAGATGATCCAGAAGCTGGCTGACCTGCGCAGCCTCAATGAGGAGCACTCCAAGCAGTATCGCTGCCTCTCCTTCCAGCCCGAGTGCAGCATGAAGCTCACGCCCCTTGTGCTCGAGGTGTTTGGCAATGAGATCTCCTGACTAAGGCAGCCTGCGGTGGTGCCTGGGCAGGGCTGCTTCTCGCGGGCCATGGGCCCAGGCCTAGGGTCCGCTACTGCCCAGCAGCCCTCCCCACCCTCTCTGGAGTTTAGCCCCTCCTCTGCCACCTTCCCTTTCCGTCTAGCCCAGCCTCTCTCCTGCCGAACCTAAGCCCAGGTTCCCCTTCCTACAGGCCACAGGCTGCTCCCAGCCCCTCAGGACCTTGGTCATGAGGACTTGCTGTTTATTTGATAGAGAAACTCATGTGGGGGCAGAGGGCAGAGGCTGAAGTCAGGGCCTCGTCCAGGGACACCACCACTTCTCCACAGGTGGCTGCTGGCTGGCACCAAGGGAACAGGTGGGAGAGCGCACCCATTCCTCAGGGACAGAGTACCTCCCCCACTCCAGGCCCACATGTCCAAGCCTGGTGGGGATCTCCCCCTCCACCCACCATGACAAATAACTGGCCCACAGCCCCACTCTTCCCTAGCTCACCCTGGCCACCAGACTATGCTGTCTGTCTCCAAGTGGCATGCCACAATGGGGCCCCTTCCTTTGCCGTCCCACATGTCTAGGACACTTGCTGCCAAGAATGACCAAAAACAAGGTGACTAAGGCCCAATTCTCACCTCCTCCCATCTCTGGAGGCCAAAGGGCACTTGCCAAGCCCCTCAGTGCCCACCTTTGTCCCATTGCCACAGTCAGCCTCCCCGGGGCAATAGGTCTGGGAAGATGAGATTTCTCCCTGGCGCTGGAACCACTGGCCCAGAACCCAGCTGTGGAAAGGCCCAAAGTGGAAAGAATGCAGGGCCTGGGTGGTAGGGAACAGATAAAATCAGTCTCCCAGAACAGTAGTAGGTGGGTGACCATCCCTGTCATCAAGCCCATGGATCCTCAGCCTGGGTCTAAGGGGTTGGTTGACGTGGGAGTGCTCCTTTTAGCAATTCATGTGGCACACCGAATTGCCCCAGGTTGCAGAGATACCCAACCTGGTCCTCACTCCTCCCCTGCCGGTGCCTTAGCCTCCCACCCTGGGGATGAAGCCCTCCCCCTCAGAAGTTACTGGATCTCCCAGCAGTGTCAGTGGAGAAGCAGTGTCTCCCTCTCTGCTTACCAGCAGGGGCCACATCCTCTCTCCCGGGCAGGGTGGAGCAGAAGAACCTTCAGACCCCAGCAGCTGCGCCTGCCCTCCCTGCCACCGAGGTGCATCTCCAACACTGCTCACCCGCAGAGCAAAAGCCTGTGCTCTAGCACCCAGGGTAGGCAGAGGGGGCTCCTCAGAGAGAGATGGTGGAGGGGTGGGGGTGTCAAGCTGGTTCCCTTCTTATTTTCACTCCTACATTCAAAAGTCATAAGGGGCCTGTGAGGCAGGGGTAGGGGACTATAACTTCAGGCTCCATGTTCCGGCCCAGGAGGTGGTGACCCTCTGTTCATTTATTCCAGGGTGGGGTTTCTTGATGAGAGTGGGTTGCAGGTGTGTGGGGCCAGTGAGGAAGGGGGTTCTTCCAATCACTGTTTGTGTTTGGTGAACATGGCTGCATTTGAGGTATCAGCAGGGAGGTAATGTCAGTGGGGACGTGTGCCTCCCCACCCGCATTTGTGGTTCCTCAAACACCCTGGGAGGAATCGGACTTAACACTGCAAGGGCTGTCAGTGTCCAGCTGGCCCTGCATCTCTCAGAATTCATCAGGTGGGAAAATCATCCAAAAGCCACATTCCTTATTGCAGAATAACATATATAAAGCTTAATCTTAAGTGTTAGATGTGAGTTGTTTTCAGAATCAGATTCCATTTGTATTATATTCTAATACAGAGAGGAGCAGGCGCCACTGAGTCAGAGATATTTATGGAGGAAAAACTTGCATTGTGAAAAGTCTGTACATTAATTATTGTTGCTATTTTACATGGGGCTAGGGAGAGACCCCTGTTTGAATTTAGCTTCAGAACACGTGGTCCAGATTGCAATTCAGTGAGAGAAAAAGCTTGAAAATTGCTAAACTAGTTCAAGCCCCTTAAAAACTATCACTTCGAGGAGGGCGGGAGTCGCCCAACCTCATAACATTGTTAGAAGTGGCGTCAGGGCTGGGTCAGACCTTGGAATCAGGGTCCAGTGTCCTTTTCACTACACCACAGTTGAGCTCAGACCCCGTCCAATCCCCCAGAGGCTGACCCAGTCCCTTGGGGGAAGCCCTGGGTTTCAGACAGAGCAAGTCTCCATCCGGGACCCCTTCCTTCCGTGGGTTTAATGCCACCATCTCAGCAGGAGGAGGAAGAAGGACACTCAGCCTCTGTCTCCATGTGAACGAGACCCCCATCTCTGTGTGGCCCTGGCCCACTGGGCTCTCTGACTCAGTCCTGTATAATGCTGTTGCCTTATCAATAAAGTGCATTTGTCTTTGTAAAGTCTCCGCTTTCCCAGCTGTCCCTCTGGCCCCGCCTTTTCCAGGGAACTCGACTGAACTTTAGAGAACATTGGTTACTCAGTCCTGCGGCCCACAGAAACCCAAAACACTCCCAAAGGGAAGCCTGGGAGCTGGAAACAAAAGAAAGCAAGGGAAAGTGAGGTTTTGTGAGGCTGAATTGAGAGAAAATATTGTCATCTATTGTTTAAGAACAGTAATTTTCAACCCGCATCCTGCAGCACACTGGTGTACCATGAAGGGATCTTAGGTGTGCCATGAAAAATTTTAAAGATTGTTAATTAAATTATTTTCTTTT